TTTTTTATTCTGCTTGGGGGCTTGCGCCCCCTAGCAGCGGCGCGCATATTTCAGCAGCGGCGCAGCGCCGCTGCTGAAAACATATAGGGGAAACACTGCTGTCACACCGGTGTGATCATTCTATAATACACAATTTAAGCCCGGGGGAGAAATGCTAACGCTACATTAGCATCTGCGATCTTTTCTACTTCATGCCATCTGCACAAATGGTTGACATTAAACATTAAAAAGACCAGGCAGTTCAGAGAGAATCAAAGGAAGACAGGCAGCTTTGCATGACATTCTCCTGGACGTGTTTCATTGTGGTGATAGTGAGGGTAGTCAATCCCTTGTTTAGCAAGACAGTAGTGACGGCCATCTTGGTGACGTGTGTTGTTGTGCAAGACCAGAGATGTAGTTCTTTGAGCGTTTCAAACAAAAAAATCTTTTAAATTGACAAACATCAAATGTTTAATTCGTGGCACAATTCAAACGGGATCGAAAGATAATATTTCTCTCTCCATTGACTTCAATACATATTTTTTCCGAAATAAGGTCCCATGGAGGTCCACCGGAAGGGCAGGGACTTCGCCTCTCTATTAATCCTGAGTCCAATAACCATCAAAGTCACTCCAATAGTGCTCCTTAATTACGCTTTCATCCTCCTTTAACAAAATACTTCACATTCATCCAGTTTGTGACAGTAGTTGTAGCATTTTTGAGACGTTTAAACTTAAATTACCGCTGGGGGGTGCAACTTCCAACAGGAGCAACTTCCAACAGGAGTCATTCGGGGGGGCTCTTGGGAGAAAAGGTTGGGAACCACTGCTCTAGTGGATCTGATATGCAACTTCTTCTTAGGAACTTAGGAAATGCATATTGACTTTGTTGCTGAAAGGCTGAACTATTATCTTAAGGGAGTTTTAAGTAAGTAAGAATCAAATATTCATGTTCATTTCCGATAGTTTTGTTTCTCAAAGAGCTGTCAAGTCATTTCAAAAAGACATCCTGTGTGGTTTTTCAAGCATACTGTAGGTCAATTGTGTGATTAACAGTAAATGACTAATGTGGGTTGGTTTCAGTTTCGTGTGAAAGTGGAGAAAAATCCAGAGCTTGGTTTCAGTATATCAGGAGGAGTGGGAGGTCGGGGAAATCCTTTTCGCCCAGACGACAATGTAAGTCAAATAGTTCTAATACCATACTCAAAGAATGCCATTTATTCAATGATTTGTTATTTTAGAAGAAACTGATGTGTGATTTGCATAATTAACAATGATCCTTTGTGGGTCTGATTTAAGGGTATATTTGTGACGAGAGTTCAACCTGAGGGGCCGGCATCTAAGATTCTTCAGCCTGGAGATAAAATCCTCCAGGTATTTAGCCATCTGACAAAAACATCACAGAAATATCATTGCATTCTTGGCGATTAGTTAAAGCTTTATCAAGTTCTCTATGTTAACCAAAATGCTGTCTCTTCCAGGCAAACGGCTACAGCTTTGTGAATATCGATCACGGGAACGCAGTGGCCCTCCTGAAGACTTTTCCTAACACTGTGGACATGATTATCGTAAGAGAAGCGCAGGCATAGACTGAACCTGACCTCTGAAGCTGAGGGACACGAGGCAAACGGAGACATTAATGTTGACTCTCATATTTTTGTACGCAGAGGACACTGACATGCCGGGACTATTTATAGCAGAGCCTTGATTTACGGGGAAAACCACTGAATGTAGTGGATCAAAGTGAAACGAGTACGAGTCCTCAAAAGGCCATCACTGTGGTATATATATTTTTATACAAAAGAAGCTGAAGATGTGACCTGATGCAAATAATTACTGTGGTCTCTGTACAGATCATCTTTTCCTTTTTCTTCTTTTGTCCACAACTCAGAAGTCCTTGATCATGAATGAGGTTTCATTTCTGCAGATTGACATGAATTGACCACTCCCTCGCCTTTTTTTTTTTTTTACTTTTAATCTAAGATGTTGAAATCTGGTCTGCCCTGCGATCTTTTACGGAGGACGATGTTACGTGCTTTTCTTGTGGAGACGAATGTAGATCAAGGAAGTGATTTGATTTTGTTTTTCGGAGAGATATCGTTTGATCCAGCCCTGCTTCCATAAACCTGTGAACACGCGACGCTTCCACAGGAATATCCTCACGGCTCTGCACACCTTCCCTACACACCACTACCTGCGCTGTGTGGAAGACAATCCTTGGCAATATGAATGAATCACAGCTTCTCGGATGTTGCGGAAATGGGAGAGGGGAGGTGTTAGCTCAGCCTTAATCTGTTCAGTCGGAAGCTTTAGTTTGAAGCTGAAGTTCAACATTTTGGGACATTTTCTGAGAGAAGTTTGAAGCACTCGCAGTGACCGTACGACAGAAAGAGCTGCACGTGTTTCCCAAAATGTTGGAACCCTTCCTTTAAGCGTAGAAAGACATGGCGGGTGTGCTAGTGAACCAAAGCAAGTTTGTGGACAGGGAGAGTGCAGGATATTGAAAAGATATTTGAATAAGAACAGGTCAACGTTTCACTCGTGTGTTTTTATTTCTTAAGGGCTTCATCTTTCAGGCGGCCATTGGAGGGAGATGAACGTTTTATTTTGCAGGGGTTTCAACATCTGTCCGTTTTTACATGGGAGAAGACCACAGTTTGCCTTTTGTGTCTATGAAATGATGTTTTAATCACGCTTCTTACTCATCACTTTGGAACCGTTTCTCAATATGTTTTCTTTGCTGTACAGAGAGTAGAGCTGGGAGAAACAAGTTGTCAAGTGCCATAGACCTGGAACTGTTTGAGCAGGGGGAGGACCCCAGAACCCGAGCAATACTCACATAATCACAGCATTTGCAGCATCATGGCTTCAAAGCAATACTAAAGCCTTTATTTTCAAAAAGATCATCAGATAGCATTTTTTTAAACACAATCTTTAGTAATCACCAATGATTTTACATAATTTTTATATTGTGAAAACATGTTTTTTTTCTAATGACATAGCACAAGAAATATAAACAGTGCTTAACAAAAGATTTCTCTGCGTTGTGTAAAAGTGAAAGATGGTGTCACTTTGTCCAATGCGTTTGACTGACTGTGTGTCGCTTAGATTACCGTAGCTCCTCACGTTCATTTGTGCAAAAATAATCCACTTTAAAAATCGAATTGAGTCAAAACTACTTCTCAGATCATTCCTAATGTTTGTCACATGTAGGAAAATGTGTTTTCAAGCAGCATTATGTCACTTCGTATTCTCTGTGCACATCTCCGTTAATATTCTTTCACTGGTAAATAACTCTTGAGTGAGACGTGTTTCCACAACAAACGGGAATGATAAAATTCACTAAATAATGGGCCCTTCAATTCCAACCACACATTTGTGACCACTGAATTATTTGTATAATATGTAGTGTTTTATCCACATGGCATTCCCTCAACTTGTTTACAGTAGGTTGTGGCCTCTACTGATCCCATGTGTAGTTAAATAGATTTATATTTTATGCGTGTGGCACTGTTGAACCAAATTTAAACACTGGTAGTTCACAAAATGAAATACCTTTTTATATAATAGTCCAAATGTTTAAAGGTAGTTCTAAGTGAAGCTGTACCCTTAATTTTTTAACTGAATCTAGAATTTGTAAATTGTATCCACATGAAAATGAAATGATTTCCTAAATGTCTCACAGAGCGTAGTATTTCACACAGATGATTTGTTTTTATTATTTGTATTAATTTCTTGGTGATTTCTGTTGACTTTGAGGGGATTTCTGCGGTAATGGTCACTTTATATTCATGGCAAAAAAACATAGACATGTTAGAAAATCTAGGGAGATAAAAACATTTCTTCATTCATGTCGCTCGTTTCTTACGCTCCCGTATCGTTCTTATTTATTTAGCAGCCTTCTTTGGTTTTTAGACCTCACTAATCAAATTGTAAATATCTTAAAAAATTGAGAAAATAATTAATGACGGCATTAGTGACTTGCGATTGTAAAACCAGCAATAAATTGCAATGCAGAGGCACTGGTTTTAATGTATAGCTAGTATTTCTAAGGTTTCTCTGGAAACAGTGAGATGATGATTGAAATGCATTTATCCAACATTCCAGATTTTGTACATAATTACCTGTTTCTGAAGTAACCTGTGGAAAATAAACGAATGCTCTTTAGCAACGGTTCTTCTGTCTTCATTTCATCCTTTGCAGTAAATGAATACCACACTGCATAAGGACAGTGCAAACACCAGGGGGACTGTGAGGCATCATGCGCTGTAGCAGATGTACGCACTGATTCAATTAGGACCTAAAGCACCATATAACGAGTTTAATTCCAATATACTGGTAAATGTTGCTGGCAATGTGAAATCTAATCAAGTGTTGAATCAGACTTTAGTTCCACCTGGAGTAAATTCACAAGCTACCCTGCAGTATACAAAGTCATTCAAACTAGCTGCACCTTTACCAGCTTTGAGAACACTTTAATGATCAATCATTATAAAACATATCATATCTATTATTCTGAAATGGACCAATCTGCACAATGACTACTTTTACTGTCGCTACTTTCACTATATTTTGATGAGAATACTTTTGTACTTTTAGTTGAGTAACATTTTGATTGCAGGACTTTTACTGTAACAGAGTATTCCTACACTCTGGTACTTCTACTTTTAATAAGTACAAGATCTGAGTACTTATCATTTCACTAAAAGATCTCAGTACTTCTACTTTTACTCAAGTACAGTTTCTGAGTACCGTACTTAGTCCNTGGCAGATTTGCATAAACGGGATTTGATTGGCTGAGGCCTCCGTCGAGGCGTCAAAAGTAGAACATTGCTCTACTTTTGCAGCGAGCACCGCGAGAAAACTTTTCTCGCGGTGCTCGCTGCAAAAGTAGAGCAATGTTCTACTTTTGACGCCTCGACGGAGGCCTCAGCCAATCAAATCCCGTTTATGCAAATCTGCCAGTACAAGCGCTAGCCAATCAAACCGCGTGTATGCTGGGAGAGCCAGACCGCAGTTCATTTCCTCATATGCCAAAAAATGGGGGAGAAAATAATCGTAGCGGTAGGGAATCACCCGGTGCTTTATGATCAGTCCCTGTTCCCCTACCGCAGGGGTGGGGAACCTTTTTCCTCTCAAGGGCCATTTCAATTTTTACAACATCCTTCGAGGGCCGTACAAATTATTGAACTCAACATCTGCTTAAAAAACTCAAATCACAGCCCATTCATTTCGCGTTTCTTTCATGCTGTGCAAAGAAAAAGCAACCTCTTAATCCAGATATTTGACCATGACNACGCACGTTGTCGAAGGACGAGTGTAACTTTTTTTTCTTCTCACTTTGTGTGGAAAATGCGCGGGGGATGTTAGCTCTGGCCTTTTTGATAAATATGTTGGCCGTTTTTTTTTTAAAACCTGCGCATTTTGCTGATGTATGCGGTAAATTTCCTGCCGTCGGCAGAATCGTTTTTCTTTTGGGAGGGTCTAGGCATTAAATCATGAAGAAGTTACGGCGTTGCTTAGAAAGGAGAAGGAGATATCATGCTATATTTTCAATAATATAGTGTAGGGGCCATACCTTATTAGAGAGTGGCGAGAGTCCCTCCCCTTTCCTGGGAGGTCCCCCATGGGACCCCTGTATTTCAGAAAAAAAAATTACTGTAGTGAAGTCAATGGAGAGGAAAAGTTATCCTTTCCCGAGTCCCATTTTGAATTGTGCCCCACATTACCACATAGTGATACCTCGTTTGTAAATTTAAAAGATAATTTTGCAAGTCAAATTTTTTTAAATGTGTCGTAAAACTGTGAAGTAACACATTTGTTTGTGTGAAACGCACAATGAACTACATCTCTGGTCTCCCACAACAACACACGTCACCAAGATGGCCGTCACTACTGTCTTGTCAAAAAAGTAATTGACTACCCTCACTATCAACACAATGAAACATGTCCAGAAGAATGTCATGCAAAGCTGCCTGCCTGCCTGCCTGATCTTTTTTATGTTTAATGTAAACCATTTGTGCAGATAGCTTGAAATAGAATAGAACGCCGGTGCTAATGTAGCATTAGCGTTAGCATTTCTCCCCCGGGCTTAAATGGTGTATTATAGAATGATCACACCGGTGTGACAGTACTCTTCAAAGGGTTCACGAAATATGACTACTACTCTTACTGTTTAACATTTTGGGTTACTTGATGTTACTTCATGTTAAGGCTAATAAAAATGACAAGGCTAAGGCTGTAATGCTAACTAACATGCTTGCTACTTGCTAGGTAGCTAACTTGATCCAGCCACTCCTGGTCCTTTCATCAGACGGGAAGCAAAAGAACGAGCAAGACCCATTGCTGGTATGATAACAACCTGGTACTAAGCACACAGGCATCTTGTTAAAGTTATCTTATCTATCTCTTATATTTGGCAGAGGACAACAATTGTGACATCAGTTATGACATCACTTACGCGACTCTGGGATTTGTAGTCTCTTTAGTTGTGTATTTTTCATAGTCTTATATTTCAACAGTTTTACAAAAAACTGTGATTTTTTTTACATGGAAATTATTTTTTAAGATGTGTTTATGTGGATTCAAAAGTCGTAAATAATCTACAAAATGGAGGACACCGATCTCATCGGAGCAACTGTGACAAATAATCCAACTGAAACCGGCATGGACAATGACTATGTTTTATAAATTGCGCTTATCCAGAAAACCCTGGTTTGGACACTTTACGGGCAGAAGAAACATTTCTATTAAGAAAGAGTTATACATTTCTTTCTTTTTATGCCTTTAATAGCTATTAACTTGAATTTATATTAAAATGAATGAATCAATATTTTTTTATATTTTATTGTAATGTAGAGACAAGGCTTTCAGTGACAATCATGTATTGCTTTACAATTATTTGAAAAAAGGAGAAAATTATGAAGAAAAAAAAAAGGGAAAAAAAAGTCTAATATGATATTTGGCCTCAAATCATCTGAGGCCTGGGGCCCCCCCTGCGATCTTTGCCCCCCCAGGTTGGGAACCACTGCACTAGAGTATTAATATTCTCTTCCAATGCTCTGCAAGAAAGTAATCAAACATCAGACAGCCTCAAACTGTGGAACTCTTCTTTTAACCAAGCTTCAGCTCAGCCAATAAAGACATCTAATAAAGAGTATCATGAAAATATAAAAGGCTTTTAACAGTTCAGTGTTTCAAGTAGTTCTACCCCATGCCTCACCTCTTGCTGCAGAGCATCAGGCGGGATACGCGGCGGCCCCTGGGGAGGATGGGAGACTTTGAGCATTAGGTAATCAATGAGCTGCTCTCTGGAGGGGTGGCGGGCCATGGACCCCTGGCTCGCCTGAGGACGGACAGAGGGGCCCATCTGACCGTTCATCAAAGGCACCTAGGAAACAAAAACACATGAGGTTGGGATTGAGTTTTGAAATGAGCACATTTGACCACCACGTCTTGCTCTGCAGCCAGATGTCTGTGTGTGAACCTACTTTTCTGTGAGGGTCCATGGTGTAGCTCTGCTGTCCTTGGGGAAACACATCGTCCTGAAAGGGCAGACAGTGATGATTATCAACAGTGCCCAAACCCCACTGCACTGAAACAACAAGGATAACAGGCAGGACAGACGAGTACACACTGACACCAACACTTCTTATGTCTAGGGATGACATTAGGTCGTGAACGAAGGAGGTGAAAGGGACACAGCTAATAGGAATCGGATTCAATTGTGCTTAGTTTCTATTCACAGTCTGAGAAGCGTGTCATTCTAAATATTGGCTTACGGGGGAAAAGGAGAATCTTAAATGTTAAGTAGGGAGGGGGTTACACAATGCTCTTATCTTTAGATTGTGTCAGAGCCTCTTATTCTTCTCTACAGATTCTAATACCCACTTTCTAGTCACTCAAACACACACCTCTGACCACTTACCTTTTGCAAACACAGATTTCATCCCCACACACTATGTGAGAGGATGTGAAGTGAGTCTGAAGTGACAGGGAGTTGAAGTGAAGATGAGGAATGAGCAGAATAGGGATATCAAGTGCAGTTAGAAGGAGAAGAAAATCACGGTTGTTTGAAGGATAACGCACACCATGATGATTATGATGTTAGAGCACCTGGCTGGTTTAAAAAGGGGGTGTACCATAAATAAAACAACATATCTCTTTATCAACTTAGACTCTAATTAAGAAAAAGCCTCTTTATATGCTAAAAAGCCTGCTTCAGTTATGTTGCCAGGAACATTTAGAAAAAGATACTGCTGTAAATGTGTCACTAGATTTAATAAATGTTAACTCTTTGCAAAAAAAAGAGACAGAAAAATCTTTCTAGATTACTTTAATGCATGTGGTCGACAATACATTTTGCCAAACACAGCTTATACATTTTTTTGAAGGAAAATATTTGAGATAATTACTTGAAAATCTTAAGCTCTGCAGCATCCTTCATCCATTCAGTGTGACTTCAGCAGATACATCTTTCTCTGATTCTAGCATAAAGTATAGTTAAGCCTAGGAGTCAATTTGATGATGGTACAAAATATAAGTAGGCCCCTTTTAAACAAGTCCAACTGCACTACAGTAAAAGGAGACACAAAACAAACCACCCATTTCACACTCGGAGGAGACAGTCACGTACTAGGAAGGGTCTGTGTTCATGAGAATCAGACGTTAGGAGAGACATTATACTTTCACTTCAAAAAAGGACAAGTGAAAGATTGTGAGGGTCAGTGATCACTTCTCAACACCCAGGAGAGAAGGAAACATTACTCTTCTTCTAAAGGATGTGAAACTAGCAGGAAGCCCCGGCTGGTTACGAGCTGCAGGAAGGAGCTGACTTCAGGTCACAGTACTCACACAGAGGCCCAGCGCTCCGTAGGGCCCTCCGTCCCTGGCACTAAACACCAGAGACCCCTGGCTGGCATGCATATCCCTAGAGCTGCCGTAGTGAGACCAGCTCAGCGGAGCGTTATTGGAATTATAGGAGCGAGACAGCGCGTTCTGAAATGAGGGACGACACGGGACAACCGGCAACACGGACATGTTAGCCGAGACCATGCATCCACCACACGAGTGATGACATAAAAGACACAACAAAAAGGTTTACAGCTTATAAAACACACACATGCAAAGAATCAGAAATATTGTGCACACGGCTGGGTTAGTAGGCTTTGGTAAACTCCGGACTCCATGTTAAAAGGTTCATCCCATCTAAATATCCACATACTTTTCGTTTTGTTTGCCCAGGTTTGAGACCCCAATAAAGGAATAGGTTCTGATAGCCAGTATATCTTGGATTTGTTTCAAGTTGGTATAATACCTTCTCTACTGCTCACCAACCCCCATCAAATCTTTTATATCTCTTTTCATTTTTTACTTTGAGATGCTTTCATTTCACCCCAAACCAACTACCTTTGAGCACCTGATAAAGCGCTTGAAAATAAAATGGTTATGGTTATTATTATTTGGTTTCAAAACCAAATGCATGAAACGGTATCCTTGTTGGGCTTCCCCTTAAGGACAATTGTATTCGTGCTGTTGGAGTCATCATTGTAATCTACAGTCCATATGTTAACCTTTACAGAAACAAAAAAGCTATTCCCGTCTGAAAATGTATTCACTGACATTTCACAAACCACAGCAGTACTTTTTTTACCTTTTCCATTTTCTTGTACTCGATGTGCCGCATCACCTGGTCTCTCCAGTCATTTGGCACCCTTCCCGCCCCGACTCCCCCCGGCACCTGTGCTGGCCCCTCCAGCAGCGAGTGCTCAGACTTCACCCTGGTGGCGGGCCTCTTGCTGGGGCTGCTCTGCTGGTAGTTGAAGTCGCTGACGGACATGGTCCTCTCTGGAAGCTCGTGAGGCTGCGGCCGGGCGCAGGGAGGCCTGGAAGATCCCGGAGAGTCGATACTGTAAGTGCGCGCTGAGAGGGGCCTCTGCATGGCTTGGCTCATCGCCAGTGGCCCCCTGGCGAGGGTGTGGATGTCCCGGTATGTCATGTATTCCCCGTCAGGCACCTGTATGCGTCTGGGGTCGCCCATGGAGGCGGTGGAGGCGGTGCTGCTCTGCCTCTGCAGAGTGCTGCTTCTGCCCTGGCCTCCAGTAGAATAAGCCCACATGTCCCCGGAGGGTTTGGGAGGCCCCCTCTGCTGGTGCTGATGAGGGTAGGGAGGGGCTTGGTTACGGTTTGAGTAGTTGGTGTTGGCTAGTGAGTGTGGAGGAGGAGGGAGGTAGCCATGCTGCTCAGGAGGCATGGGCGTCCTCGGGGCCCACAGACCCTCTTTAGGCAGGGCACTGCTTGAGTACTGGATGTTGTACTGAGGGGGGGGGGGACCCGTGGCCATGCTGGAAGACACGGGGTATCTGCTGGTGCTGGCAGGGGGCTTGGAGGAGGACAGCAGGTCTGAGGAGGAGGCGGAAGAGCCGGCGTAGATCTGCAGAGTCTGGTCGTTGAGTAACTGACTGGCCGACTTGCTCCTGACGATGCTCTGGCCCTGAGGAGCCCCCGGCCCTGGGCCGGCCCCTGCCATCCTGGTCATGCCTGCTGTGTCATAGCACTCATCGCCCCCATCAAAGGAGAATAGCTTCAGTCCTCCTGATTCCATGTTGCTTACACTTTGACACTTCATCACCTGCGGGGGGTTGCACCTCTTCTCTGGAGACAGTTCCTCGGTGCTGCGAGAGAGAGACATGTCGCTGCTGGCGGTCGTTCCTGTCGAGGCCGAATGCACCGCAGACGTCTCCACTCTCATCGCTTGGCTTTTGTTCCCCAGACTGATGATGCAGTCACTGACCTGCTGGTTTCCATTCAGGAAATGCTCCATGTTGTCATTGCTGAAGCCCTGCTTGCTGTCCTCTGGGTTGACTGAACCATTCTTGGTTTGATCCAGATCGTCCAGCCGCACCATGTTGTCCGTTGGTAATTTGGACACGTTCATATTGATCTGGTCCCACTTGGTGTACGTTTCTCCCATGCCGTTGTTAATTCCCTTCTCGATGAAGGCCAGCCTGGCTTCCATGGACAGGTCATAGTCCCCCATTTTCTCTGGTGGGGTCTGTTGGGCTTTCAGAAGGGCTTGAAGGGATGTTTCAGAGCCGTTTCCATTATGGAGGAGAGGGGTGGTGTCTTTAGGCTGGTTCATGTTCTCATCAACATGCCTAAAACAAAGAAGTAGATCCATCAGGTTATGTAATGACGTCATGAGGAATACTCTCCTCTGTACTCTTAACTGCTTTTCTGGAGTTTCCCTTTCCTAAAGTGTGTTCTAAAGGTTTGTGTGCATGTAAATGGTCTGCAAAGGCTAAAATCCCTGTGTTCCACCAGAGGGAGTTTCTCTCCCACACACTC